ATTTTTAGTTGTTGTGAAAAAAAGATCGCCCCCTCAGATTTTTTAACAGCCCCCTCAGTCATTTCATCCTGGAGCCGGGCCTGGTACAGTAACTGGATAATAACAAGGGAATACTAAACAGATCCTCTCTTTTCCTCTCTCTCTCCCCTGACAGCCCGTCAGTATCCGTCTCATGCAGCTCACTGATCCAGTAATGAGTGACCCGACAGTGAAGAATAAACATATTTATAATTAGTTTAGGTTGTTCCAGAGGTAGATAAAATAGATAAGTGTGTTAGGTCTAACTTGAAGTGTGTGTCNAAAGTTCCGATAAATGTTTAATTACATGATGCGCTTCCACAAACAACAACCAACATAATTATTACATTCAAATGAAGTACATTATTCAAGTTTACATTATTAATGTAAACTTGAATAATGTACTTCATTTGAATGTAATAATTATGTTGGTTGTTGTTTGTGGAAGCGCATCATGTAATTAAACATTTATCGGAACTTTTCGATCCGTTACGATTATAAACTGAAGCAATATAAAAATTAGCCCCATTGACTGAGTTTTAAACATCACTTTAAATGGAAGATCCCCATAGCCTCCACCCACCCGAACGTATCGGCATCGGCCGATACTGATTCCGGTGATCGGCCACAAAAACCCCAATCGGAGCATCCCTAGTCTCAATATTTCTAGTGAAATAAAGGTCTAAATATTCTACAGTTTTTTTTTTTCATATGCTTCACATAACAAAAGTATTGTTCAAACCCTCTCATTTGACATGGCAGTAGGAGACCATTACAAAAATAATATTTCTTTAGTACTGAGTCCTCCAGGTTTTTTGAGAGTATGGACACTAATATTTAGTTCTATATTTTGAAAGAAAAAGGCAAAGACAAACACCAGATTGCCTGAAGACTACATCAAAGAAAGCAATATGATAATAGTATAATGTGTGTATATATATATATATATATATATATATATTCCAAATAGGGCTGCAACAAACGACTAATTTGATAATCGATTAATCTATCGATTAATGAAACGATTAATCGATTATTCGGAACGTTAAGGTTTTAACTGTACTACTACTTATATCAATACTGCTTATCGATCCGGTCCTTTTAACGATAGTATTAACGGTTCTTTTGACAAGAAATAAGGTAAACTAACTCAACAAATTGTGAACAAAACTAACATTGCTTTTTATTTTTAATTAAATNTCGACTAATAGTTGCTCAATTTCAATACCATAAGTCAGAACAAGGTCAAGAGTGTGATTATAGCAGTGGGTTGGTTTATTTACACTCTGACAGAAACCAACAGAATCTAATATAGAGTTAAATGCAACAGTAAGGCTATTTTTATCATCTTCAACATGAATATTAAAGTCACCTACGATAATTACTTTATCTGTTTTAAGTACCAAAGTTGATAGAAACTCAGAGAATTCTGATAAGAATTCTGAATAAGGACCTGGTGCACGGTACACTGTAACAAATAAGATTGGCTGCAAAGTTTTCCAGGTCGGATGCGTAAGACTGAAAATGAGGCTTTCAAAGGAGGTATAATTTAATTTTTGCTTAGTATTGATAAGTAAACTTGAGTCAAAGATTGCTGCAACTCCACCTCCTCGGCCCGTGCCTCGGGCAATATGAGTATTGATATGGCTGGGTGGAGTGGCCTCATTTATGCTGACATATTCTTCATGTCTC